TTAATTAAAAAATCAGACGACGTGGTTGAGAAGTTGACTCGCAATAAATTTTACAGGTAATCTCAATTAAAGTAATCAACCAAAAAATGATAAATATCAAAGGTCCATCGCAACGGCCAATTGGGACCTTTCACTCGTCGTCCACATTGCTTCCTTTAGAGGAAAGGGCATTTCCGTAATTATGGCAACATTTTTCAGAAATAAATAACAAAGAAAAAAAAAGCAAACGGATCTCGTCCCGCGTGGTTACAGATTTGATCAGTGTCGGTGTCTCTGTTTCTTTTTTTCAATTTCTCTCCCACATTTTCCTTATTTTTAGCCAAAATCTGTTTATTCCCTCTCTCGAATCTTCTTCTCCAAAAAAAATTCGAAAACAAATCCTTAGATCCATTTCAACAATCGCTCAAATGCATGTACATTGATTGATAATCGGTATTAAAAAAAAAATGGGGGCGAAATCGAGTTCTAGATGTTGTTGTTGTAGCTGGTTCATCGGAATCATCGTTTTAATCGCTGTAATTCTCGCCGTCGTTTTCACGTTCAGGCATAAAGCAAACCATTCCGATGACGGAGATAATATCGCTCCCGGATCCATCGATAAGAAATACGCAGACGCTCTCAAAATCGCTATGCAGTTCTTCGATATCCAGAAATGTAATCACGATCCTGCAACTCCATTTTTAAATTACTCCATTTCTTTCGTTTTAATCCGTATATATATCAATATTAATATCTTCTGTTTGATTAATTTGAGTTTGTAAGCTACAGAGATTTTGAATTTGAAAATGTTTCATGAGTCGGAGTTTTGAATCTGGCTAATTTTCTGTGGTATGTGTGTGTGTGTTTTGATGCAGCTGGTAAGTTGGTAAACAACAAGATATCATGGAGAGGAGATTCAGGTCTTAAAGATGGAAGCGAAGCGAGCCTCGACCTTTCGAAAGGTTTATACGATGCAGGAGATCACATGAAGTTTGGTTTCCCAATGGCTTTCACTGCCACTGTTCTCTCCTGGTCGATTCTCGAGTACGGCGATCAAATGGATTCCGTTAAACTATTGGATCCTGCTAAAGAATCTCTCAAATGGACCACTGATTTCCTAATCAATGCTCACCCTTCTCAAAATGTCCTCTATATCCAGGTACAATGATCAATGCATCATAGTAAATACGAAGTCAAATCGCTGATTATTCGATTTTCGGTAGGTAGGAGATCCGGAGACGGATCATAAATGTTGGGATAGGCCAGAGACAATGTCGAGGAATAGAACGCTTACGAAAATCGATACAGAGACACCAGGGAGTGAGGTTGCTGCAGAAACAGCAGCAGCTATGGCTGCAGCATCTTTAGTCTTTAAAGAAAGTGATCCAAAATATTCAAGCACGCTTCTGAAACACGCGAAGCAGTTGTTCGATTTTGCAGACGATAACCGAGGATCTTACAGTGTCAACATACCTGAGGTTCAGAAGTATTACAACTCGACGGGGTATGGCGATGAGCTCCTTTGGGCAGCTTCGTGGTTGTACCATGCGACTGAGGACAAAACGTACCTCGACTTCGTGTCGAAAAACGGAGATGAGTTTGGAAATTTTGGAAGTCCATCATGGTTTAGTTGGGACAACAAGCTTCCAGGAACACATGTATAAAGACAAAGGCACACTTATTTACACAAATCATGGCTATGTTCTTACTTGCTTAATTCATAAGATTTACTGAGTTACATATACCATTATTGCAGGTACTGTTATCAAGATTAACTTTCTTCAAAAAAGGTTTATCAGGAAGCAAAGGACTCCAAGGTTATAAAGAAACAGCAGAAACTGTCATGTGTGGACTTATACCGAACTCCCCAACAGCTACAGAGAGTAGAACTGAGGGTAGAGTCTCTTACATCTGAAATTAAACCATACATTCACATTCAATGATGATAGAATCGCGTAGAAATCTCGATTGATTTTGTTTTTATTTCGCCTCGTTTGATATATATAGGTGGTCTTATATGGGTTAGTAAATGGAATGCACTGCAACACCCTGTGTCCTCAGCATTTTTAGCTACACTCTACAGTGATTACATGCTCACCTCCGGTATCGAGAAACTATCTTGTAGTGACCAGGACTTCAAACCTTCAGATCTCAGAAAATTCGCCAAATCACAGGTCCATATAAACTCATGACCTTACGTAGATCATTTGGTTTTGATATTATCCGCATAATAACTCTTAATGTATTGCAGGCTGATTACATGCTAGGGAAGAATCCAGAGAAAATGAGCTATTTGGTGGGTTATGGAGAGAAATATCCAGAATTTGTGCATCATAGAGGAGCTTCGATCCCAGGTGATGCAAACGTAGGATGCAAAGATGGATTCAAGTGGCTAAACTCGGAGGAACCAAACCCGAACGTAGCTTATGGTGCACTGGTTGGTGGACCGTTTATGAACGAGACGTTTATAGACGCAAGGAACAATTCTATGCAAAATGAGCCAAGTACTTATAACAGTGCTCTTGTCGTTGGTCTCTTGTCTAGTTTGGTTACTACGTCTTCCTCATTAGAATCTTTTATTTGAGATTTTATTAAAAAAACTCCTTTAATTTACTTTAGAATTACCTTCATTTCTTTTCTTTCTG